TTTTGATTTGTTAAAAATAATAATAATAATAATAATAATAATTTAAAAAAATGTATGCCTGTTTTGTGACTTTTGTTATTGTTGCTACTCACTGTTGTCATCACTCTTAGTTAAGAAATCAGGTCTCTCTTGTAAGTGAGTCCCCGAGGCTCAATGGGATTAACCTGTCTAAATAAAGGTTGAGTGAAAAAAAAGAGGCCTCAGCTTTACACACACAAGTCAAACCTGGAGACAACAACAGGTAGAAAGTGGAACACAACACCAGAAGTAACCAAAATAAACATTCCTCCTGCGTGTCAAATGGAAGTTAAATGATCAATGTGGTGGTCTGTGGAGTGCAGACGGGCAGGCTGCGGCTTGCAGCATCTCTGTGACTGAATCACATCAAACACACACACACACACACACACACACAGGTTTATCTTGCTATCTTTACAGGGACTTCACATTCACTTCCATTCAAGTTTAATTCATTCAACTTTTATTTATACAGGTTAGTCCCATTGAGCCTCGGGGACTCATTTAACCTGAATTCATTAATTTCTTAATTAATTTCTATAGCCTAACCCTGACCTTTAACCTAACCCATCCTCAATTCACACCTTAGTCCTAAACTTAACCCCTAACCCACCAACAACACTTGAACCTTATAGGGATCAGGCTTTGGTCCCCACAAAGAGCAGTTGGTCCCCACAAAGAGCAGTTGGTCCTCACAATGTGGTATGTGTCCAAAAATGGTCCTCGTAAAGTAACAAAAATAAGCACACACACACACACACACACACACACAAGTCAACAACTGTTTGAAGAATGCTCGGATGCTCCCATTGACAGAAGTAACGTAACTTCCAGTGTGACAAATGATGACATTATTTTACTTCTACATGTGACAGAGATCTTATCAGACATCAGTTTAAAAAGAAGAAAATATTATAAGAATTCACAGCCAGGTGTAAAGCAGCTGGGATGAGAATCCATCCATCCTTTATCTTTTACCCGCTTCTTCCATTTTGGATCACGGGGGTCGCTGGTGCCCATGTCCAGCAATCACTGTGTGAGGGGTGGGGACACCCTGGACAGGTCTCCAGTCCATCATAGGGACACATAGAGACAAACGAGACAAACAACCATTCACTCTCTCACTCACACCTAGAGACAATTTAGAGTTACCAATCAGCCTAACATGCATGTTTTTAAACTCTGAGAGGAAACAGGAGTAGCAGGAGAAAACACATGCAGTACGAAGAGAACATGCAAACTCAATCCAGAAAGGCCCCAGGCCGGGCGGGATTTGAACCAGTGACCTTCTCGCTGAGAGACAACAGCTCTGTCTGCTGAGCCACCGTGCTGCCCAAACAAGACACATCAGACTCAAATTTATATATTTCTTAGTCAAAGGTTGTTTTTCTTCTGGCTGCTCCCTACTGCAGGCGTCACCAGAGAGCCACTTGCATGAGTGCCTTGGTCACTGTTTTACTCCGGATGCCCTTTCTGACGCGACCTCGGCTTGAACCTGCAGCTTCAGCGTTACAAGGCCGTGGCACCAACCACTGAGCTACTGTAGCCCTACATGTAACAGAGATAAAAACCAGTCTAATAACTTGCGCATTGTTCCGGCCGTTAATAGTCAAAAGAAAACCCACAAAGGCTCCAAACTGGTCAGGGAAAAAACATCACAGGTTGTGTTACTCTACAACACGAGCTTTAACCCCTCCACCTCAGGGTGAGCGTGGCGCCACAAACAGGAACAGACTGAACCCAACAGGTTACGTTTGTTTCTGCCTGCCAGAAGATTAAACCGTAAAACAGGACAGGAGGCAGCGGCTTATGGAAATAACTGGACAAACTGGCTCTACCTCTTCAACTGTACACACACGCCAAAGTAAACGCCCACACGGCGAGTTTAACTGATTCACACACACACACACACACACACATGCACACCTGTTGCACAACCTGGCCGACACAGCTCACTTCCAGATGAACTCTGCACTCGGTTTTATATCAATTATCAAGAGCAAATAAAGAGTCTGTCAACTTTGTGAGCAGAAAGCCTCAGTTTACTTTAATAATGATTGTAAGCTTCTCTTTACAAACATGAAAAACCTAACAGAAATTCACTTAAAACTATATAATCTAAATATGACATAAACAAAATGATGAAAGACTAAGCTGCCATTCTTGTGACCTTATTGAGGCTGTGATGAGCAAACCAAGCCACCAGAGGGAGCAGATAACCACAACATCAGGACAAATGATGAAAGAGAACATATATTATATATAGTATGTCATATACTCCACCAAAACCACCAGAACTCACTCCTCCTTTCTTTCCTTTGTAATTTGTCCACCCAGAACCACAAAGGACGGAGTGAGGAGGGAGGGTGAGCCACGTCGAGTTGAGAGGGGTGTTTCTGGCAGCAAGTGTAAAACAGATGCTTCCCCTATGATCTAACCTGATGCGTAACCATGACAACAACCACTTCTTACCAGGTGTGTAGATGAAAGTGCATCCACCCAGGGAACGTGCACAAGCCAAAACAAAAAGCACCTGTGTGCCCAAAAGATCAACTGTTCAAACCAAGAAAAACCACAAGCTCGTCACTCTAAAGCTGAGTATGCAAATATTACTACTCTCAAAACTCACGTTGGGAAAAAGTTTTAGATTTCAACAAATCAAAACAACAGATGTAGACTAAAAGATGCATCAGTTAAAAAGCTTGAAAATTCTTCAGAATTTGGAAGCAAATATAAAATGTGAACATTAAATTACAATAAAATATAGATGAGATGTTTTAATCGTATTTATTTGCTGCCAAATTAAGTTTACAGTATATGTAGCTCAACGACTAGGGTTAGGTAGTAAGATGCTTGTAAGGTTTACCAGGGATTTCCAAAAATAGCAAAAATGTGTGTAACAACAACAATGTTTGAGTATGAAGAGCATCCTTTCAGTAAACTCTTCTTCTACTGTCACTCTTACATCGTAGCTGATGATGATTTTAATTTTGTAATTTAATGTAACCCTGTGTTCAAGCTGTTAATTTTTTGTTGTTGCTTCCATGATCTATTAGCTGTAATCAAATAAGAGGTGTTCGCTGAATTTAACATGCAAGTAAAAACTGTTAATATATGCTAATACTTATTTAAAAGCTCCCAAGTGAATTAATAAAGACAATATCATAAGCATAGTTAGGCATATTAAAATTATATACCAAGGTATACTTTCAAGCGGATAGATGGGATTAAAAAACCACACACCTTTATCGACAAACTTTGTTTGATTATGAATGTAATTATTTTGTCATGTATCATATTATATCTACTATTGTAAAAAAAAAAAAAAAAAGTTTAACATGGTTGGTCACTTGTTTCATCGTGCTGTGAAAAGTTCTGAAGAGCATCTCAAACTTTCCTCAATTTACTTTCTGTAATTCCAAAATGTTGCTGCCATAGTTTTAATGAGAGTTAGTAGAAGAGATCATTCTCTCCAGTTTTAACTTCTCTCCATTGGCTCCCTGTCAAATTCAGAACTGAATTCAAAATCTTACTTCTAACCTACAAAGCTCTCAACAACCTGGCTCCATCTTATATTACAGTTCCACATTTTCCTAACAGAGCACTTCACTCTATGACTACAGGTTTACTTGTGGTTCCTAGAGTTTCCTAAAGCAGAATGGGAGGCAGAGCTTTCAGTTATCAGGCTCCTCTCTTGTGGAACCAACTTCCAGTTTCTGTCCGTGAGGCTGACACATTGTCCAGTTTTAAGACTGGACTTAAGTCTTTCCTTTTTGATAAATCATATAGTCAGGATTGGCTTGGGTTTCCTGAGCTATCACTTAGTTATGCTTCTATAGGCTTAGACTGCTGGAGGACAGATTGACCACATTTCCTCACTCATGCTGTTTTTACTTGCTCTAGTATTTGTATCTAATACTGTTTGTATTTGTCATTATTTCTATCTTAACATTTTTTTTTGTCTTTCCTCCTATAGAAAGTCCATCTGGACCTGCCATTCTGTGTTTGTTTCTCCTTCCTGTCCTCTCAAACCCATCTGGTCGAAGCAGATGGCTGCTTATCCTGTGCCTGGTTCTGCTGGATGTTTCTCCCTGTTAAAAAATGAGTTTTTCCTTTCTACTGTCTCCTTGGTGCTTGTTCAGGATGGAAGACTGAGATTACATGAAGAATCAACACAATCTGCTGTTTCCTTAGATAGAGAACTTTTACTGACAGGCTTTTTAATGTATATGAATGTTTCTGTTCAGTGCCCTAAGGTGACTTTAGTTGTGACTCGGCACTACAGAAATAAACTGAACTGAATTAATTGTAGAGGGACAGAGCTGTACAATATGTATGCAAACCTCTGGTAACTTTGGCTCAGATTTCACCAAAAGTTTGCGTAAACTTAATTCAGAGCAATTCCAAGTATTTTTTTTTTTCTATTTTTTTCTCAAAATTTAATGTTTAACGTCCAGTTAGCACCTGAGAGTCACAACCAAGTGAGACATTTTTACTGTTAAGTTTTTCTCTTATAATATATAAGCTCATTGAGAGCCCCAAGACTGAAGCAGAACAGCTGGGGTGGGTATTGACACGTCTAAACTCTCAAATACCACTTCAAAGTAGGGGTTTGATAGTAAAACTGTGTCATTAAACGTCCCACCTATGGGGAACTGCCAGCAGGTTAAAATAATTAAAATTAGCAACATGGATTTCTATTCAGTAGTTTACTGCTCTGGGATGTTTCATTCTTACAGTAATGTAGAAGCAGACAGGTGTAATCAGAAGCATGTCAGTAAAACCTTTGGAGCAATGCCAATCTTTCATGAACATGACTCAGAGTTCAGAAGCAATCAAATGCCACACAAGGAGAAGTGTAACAGGAATAAGTAGAGATGTCAAAACCTTGCATTGTGGCAAATAAAAGAAAAGCATAAGAAAATTAAAATCCCTTGCAAATCCGCACGTCTTTTGGTATGTTTGGAAACAGTTGAACTCACTCTATCTTTGTCATCAACCACGTCACACAGCATATCATCAAGGTCCAAAATGCCTCCATCTCCATGTTCAAGCCTGTGGACCTGAACCCAATAGTTGTGGTCCTACAGAAGAAGGAAAAAAAGAGAGAGTGTGTAAGCTCTGTAATGAGATTAGTTTTATTTGTTCCCTATAGAATTAGGATTTTGCAGCATTATTCAAGTTAAGCCATAAAACATAGTTTTATAACATAGTCCAAATGATCTGCAGCTCGTTTCTCCTCAGGAATCAGCTGATCTAATCACCATGTGGTTCATATTTTGATCCAGTTGGCTGGCACACATACTCTGACATAGCTCTGGATTAAAAACACGAAGGCAGCTATGAAATATTTTTTAATCTCTTGGTTGGATTGCCAGAAAAAAAAATCCAAGCATATGGTTCAAAGATTATTTCTTTTGGGAAACAATCAAAAAATAATAAAGACACAGAGATACCAGCTCTTGAATAGCTAAATAGATACAATATTCTTCACTCTCCTGCAGGTTAAAAAAAAGCTGCTTTACATTAAATTATGCATGAGAGGTAAAATATGCATAGGCGGACATACCAACTCTGCTTCCGTTTATGACTTTATATCTCAAATGTGTAACAAAGTAAGGTGAAATCAGTATGTCTAAAAAAGTTTAGTCAGGTAATGGACTCTACTCATATAGCACCTTTCTATCTAATCAAAATACTCAAAACTCTTTAAAACACAATCTGTGTCCCCATTTACACAGCACTCTACTAGATCTCTACAAAGAATAATCAGTGCTTTATCACATTCATACACTGATGGGACACACATTGGAGGCAACAAGGGGTTCCGTGTCTTGACCAGGGACACTTCAGCATGTGACTGCTGGTGGAATCAAACCACCAACTCTTGTATTGGCGGACGACTGCTCTAACTACTCAGCCACAGCCACCCCTATGCATGACTTGTCCGTCAAGTAGTTTCAGTTATAATTACTAATTTATACTTTTTGTGAACGTGTATTTTCAATTCTCCTCTTTACGATGTCTCAGAGGTACGTTGTTGGTAGCGCACAGCGTGGATAGCTTAATTTTTATGAAATTACAAATTAAATGTATTTGACCATTTTCTTTTTGACGTCATCTAATATCATACTTTATTGTGCCTTACAACGCTCCCGTATCATCTGTATTTTTTCATATTGTCATAATGTATTGATGAGTACCGGTGCATAATTTGAGTCTGATCCTGTCGGAACAAGATCCAGGGACTCTCTCATTTTGACTGGGTGTGTTCCAGAAACTGTTTGCTCAGATCAAGCAACTCAAATCTCCGCCCCTAAAAGTCCAAAATCATTGCTCATTTTAATTTTGATTATTTATTAAAAATACAATGAGAGGAGACATTGCCCAGCCTGTGGAGTGAATATTACGGCTGCAGCGGGCGCACCAGCTCACGCGCACGCTCCTGCCCAGCAGAGATGCAGACTGTATGTCCCGCAGGGATTACGTTTCTTCTTCCATATGGCAAGCCAAGTGACCCATTAATAACCAGACATGTGGTAAAAGTGTCTATATAGTTCCCCGGATCTCCACGCCTGCTCCTGAACTCTGCCCTGACAATGGACAGTCTCCCAGTCACCCACCCAAACTCCTCCTTGGGGCTGGATGGGCACCTGGCCGTTCACTTGAACTGTAGTTCCATGCTGGACGGTCTCCTGACCATCCACCTGGACTCTTTTGTGTGTCCAGTTCTCAGGCTCCATCCTGTCATTTTTTTGCTTTTTCTCCCTTCCTTGTGTTCCCCTTGTGTCCTCCCTCCTTGCGGTTCTCTCCCCCCCCCCCCACCCAGATTTTGGGTGAGGGTTTTGGGATGGCAAGGGACATCCTTAGGGAGGGGTTACTGTGAGGTTTGTGTCCCCTCATGGTATGTCTTTAGTCCTGTTCCTTCTTGTAATCTCTCCCTGCTTCCTACACCTGTGATGCATTGCAGATGTTTTCACTTTGTCTCGTCTGCATCTCAGTGTTTCTCATTGTCTGGTCATTTTCCTGTCAATCTCCTGGCCCCTGTGTTCCCTCCTGGGACCCATGCATGTACATTAAGTTTGCTGCCTCGCCAGACTCTTTTGTTGGATAATAAATTCTTTATTATTATATTCCCCGAGTCCCGTGGTCTGCCTGCAGCTGGGTCCAACATTAAGGCACCGAATGTGACAATTTCTTGATGTTTTCTCCTCAAAATCCTCCCATCTCCAAAGCTTTAGTTAAATGCTTTGTGTTCAGCTTTGTTGTACTATACCCCCCACAGTGGTTCACCGTGTAAAACAAAGGTTGAATTAATGCAAAACGGTCCACATCATCAGCTGTCTGATATTTCTGTTCCTTTTTAATTCATTGCTAGGAGCCCTTATCAAAAAATTACTTTATCAGGTCTGAGATGCATTCTAAACATTTTGGTGCAATTTACAAAAAAAAAAAAAGTTGATAGTTGAAGTCAACCCAATGCTGTTATGCCTCTGAGCCACCAGATGCAGTTGTAACAAAGCTTTTGATACAGAAAAGGTTGTGAATCTGTGGTGTAAAGTCATGAAGTCAGACAGTTTGTGCAACCAGTGGACCACAAGATTTTAAAAAAGATACACATTTTGGGTGGCTGTGGCTGAGTGGTTAGAGCAGTTGTCCTCCAATGCAAGAGTTGGAGGTTCAAATCCACCAGCAGTCACATACCAAAGTGTCCCTGGGCAAGACACTGAACCCCTCATTGCCTCTGATGTGTGTCCTATCGGTGTATGAATGTGATAAAGCACTGATTAGTCTCTTTAGAATGATTTGTTCAATTAGCTTTGTATAGATCTAGTAGAGTGCTGTATGAATGGGTAAATGAGGCACAGATTGTTGTTAAAAGTGCCTTGAGTGTCTTGATCAGATAGAAAGGTGCTATATAAGTACAGTTCATTTACCATTTTACCTTTGGTCATAGATTGTAAATGGACTGTACTTGTTTAGCGCCGTTCTATCTTGTCAAGATACTCAAAGTGCTTTACAACCCAATCTGTGCCCTCATTTACCCATTCAGACAGAACTCTACTATAGCCCTACAAAGATTAACCAGTGCTTTTAACTCACATTCATACACCGATGGGACACACATTGGAGGCAATGAGGGGTTCAGTGTCTTGCCCAGGGACACTTCAGCATGTGACTGCTGATGGAATTGAACCCCTAACTCTCCCATAGGAGGACGACTGCTCTAACTGCTCAGCCACAGCTGCCCCAACCAGGGTTGTTGCGGTACACCACATCCACAATAGTAACTTCATTTTTGAAAGCTCACATTGGTATGGCATGTAGTTCTAGTTGTAGTTTTGAAAATTGGGACAATTATTATAAATGAACAGTTACACATGTAAATAAGTAAGATTTGGTTTGCATTAAACATCTAAACAACAACAACAACAAAAAAGAACAGTCAAGAATATAAAAGACCATAAAACAAATAAATGTACAAATTTTGTCATAAGAATTCTGATTTTCCAGTAGCAGTTTGATATGGGTGGACTGATCCAGATATTGATATTATCAAAACTGCCTTAAGTATCAATATCAAACAATATCAGTGTCATAGTATCAATACTTTATTTTCAGTTTTTCAGTATGGGTTGCTGTGGTAATAATAAATAAACAAACAAACAAACAAATAAATAAATAATATGTAAGTAAATAAACAAATAAATAAATTTTCTTTAATATTTAGTAATTTGATGCATCGATTCCATCGGCAACACTGGCCCTTATTTACTTGGTATCGGATCAATACCAAATATTTCAGTATCACAAACCACTGTTAATCATGCTTTAAGCTGCTTGGCGGGGTTGAACTTGTAATTTTTTATTGTCATAAAGATGCTGAGACACCTGAAAAGACTCACAATGATTTATTTGAACTAATTAAAAGCAGCTTGTCTTTGCAACTAATTTTTGAAACTTTTGTAAGAGAGCAGGGAAATATGCTGAAGTCCTTCAATATTTTTTTTTATGTTCTTAAAAAGATTTTACCTCTTAAACAGAAAAATAAGGTAATTACCATACAAATATAAACACTATTGCTTAAACTGTTTCAGACAGATTCTGTATCAACAGTTCATCTTGGATCTACTGATGAGTCATAAAAAAACAGTGTGGGGGTGAAACTGTAACTACGTCACAGTACTGCAACAAATGCTAAAACACTTTAGAAGAGAACAGACATATGTTCATAAACTTATAATCTCTGGAAGTTATTACAAGCCACAAAGTGACCTTCAGTAGTTAGGAAAAAGTGTTTGATCTGCTGCCAAACGCCATGTTGATGTGGTGAGAGGCTGAACCAGACATGTTCTTCAGATGGATTATCGTGAACAAATATGAATCCGAGCAAATTCATCTCAGAATTACATTTGGGATAAACACAAAAACTGACTCTGATGATCATGAATTATCTGACTTGTTTAGGATCATGTAAGAGTTTGCAAGTTTAGACCAACTCATAGAGTTAGACCAGCTTTCTACCTTACTGTAATCATTTTAATGTCTGTTTATAGATAGTTCTGTTTCTGTTGTCTATCTTTAAGTTTTTTGTTGTTTTTTAAATCAAGGATTCAATGATTGAAGGATTTTTATTGTCATAACAGCTATACCAGGGGTCTGCAACCTTTACAATCAAAAGAGCCATTTCTGCCCCTTTGCTCTCACCCACCTGGAGCAGAAGGACTCTTTCATCCGTATGCTCTTTGTGGACTTCACATCTGCCTTCAACACCATGATCCCCCAAACCCTGATGGGCAAACTACTCACACTAGGACTAAGCCCCTCCATTTGCAACTTGGTCCTAGACTTCTTAACAAACAGACCACAGTCAGTGAGGATCCACAACTTCTCTTCCTCCATCATAACCCTCAGCACTGGCTCTCCTCAGGGATGTGTGCTGAGCCCTCTCCTATTTACTCTGCTCACATATGATTGTGCAGCTACCCATCCAGGCTGTCATATTGTAAAGTTTGTAGATGATACAGCGGTGATGGGATGCATCACAAACAACGATGAGCTACATGCAGGAGGTAGAACACTT